CGTCGCGGGCGGGAAAGTGCACGGCTCGCGACATTTACGTGCGTCCGCGCCGTAGCGATCATGATAGTAGCACCATCCGGYCTTTGGGTTTCCCGAACGTGATTGTGACTGTGATCGGGAACGATCTCGTTGATGACGCGGAGCGCGGTCGGCGTGGGCGTGCGTTAGAGCTGCGGCATGCGACGTCGCGAGGGACGCGACTTGAGCCGTGAGTGCGTGTATCGCGTTCTCCAGCGCGGTGAAACGCGCGTCTGAAGACTGCGCCTGGACTGGCGCGACTTCCCGCGGCTGGTCGTCCGCTCGCATGATCGTGCGACGGCAAGGAGCTCGGGGTCGGCGCATGCTTCCCAAATCCGATCGGCGCGCTCGGCGAGAAAATCCGTGGTGCCCGACAATCCGGCGATGACGGCCCGTACAGCGGGGGGTAGCTTGCCGAGCCACAAGGCTCCCAGGGTGCTGTCCATCATGCCGTCGGGGTAGACCTCTCGCATGTCACGTAACAGACGAGACGGTGTGCGGTCACCCATGCCTCCTGGCTGTATGATGCGTTGCAAACGTGTCGCCTGTGGAACGGTGTACGTCGTGATCAGCCGTTGTTTGAGAGCGTCGTACGAGGCGTCTGCGCCMAGCAGGTCCATGACCGTGCGAACGCCGTCTTCGTCGAGGGCCTCGAGCACGTGGTTAACGCGCGTCAGGTCGGAACGGATTCGTTTGTTTGCAAACATCGCGTCGGCGTGCACGAACCATTGCRTCGGGGACTGACGCCAGAAAGGTGGCAGGTGTACRCTGCTGACTGCGGAAACCTCGCCACCGGACGCCACCGTCGTGGTCATGAGCGRCGAACTCGTGGTCAATGCCGCCGTTGCCGTATTAGGGCCCGAAATCGGTAAAACGGTGGACGGTGCGGTAGTCGACGCGCCTACGTCGGAGAGCATGTCAGATTACTCGGATGACGACGGATAAAAACAGAAGCACAACGGAAAGACGGTCTGTCTAAACCTCGGAACACGAGATCACCAATG